TAGAAAGAAAAGGAAATCGTTAGTGGAGTATTCATGTTCACATGCAATCTCTTTACACCCCTGACAGATGCTAAGTGGAAGCTGTCATGAAACTCACTTTTTTCTTATTTCAATGCCAACTGCTTTAAGCACTTTTTATTTTTCAGTATCTGTCAGTACTTTGTGTAAACTGTGTTTGAAATGCATTCTCTAATGGCCCTTCAAGGTGGTTGAAAAAAAAAACACTCTGTGAAATGTCTGCAACTCCATTTCACATCAAGCTTCCTTTCGAAAAAGGCAGAGACACAACCCTGAGCAGTCGATGACATATTTACACTGCAGGCTTAGCCTTTGGCGTTCTAGAGAATGTGCACGGTCAGCTATGGCCCTGAATCTTAATCAATAAAAACTTTTTTCCTCTGGGTTACAGCTTCAGTTCTAAGTATTTGCCCCTCTCTCAAGAAATACAGCAAGATGGAAAACTCTCCATAAGGTCAGGAGACAGCCTATCCTCAGTCCTATCCTTGTTAATATGTTGATTTAATAAAATACTTTAATCAAGTTTCTCTGCATTTACACGAGGAAGCCACAGTGCATTTACATGAGGAAGCCATGAGGAGGTCATAAGATTCTGCTGAACTTCAGTGACAGGTGCCACACTGATGACAAATCTTAATTAAAGAAACAACGATAATTAAAACAAATATTTGTTGTCACACATGTGCTTCATAAACTCATTTTGAGATGAGTTGTATACACAACCTTTAATGAATATTCTACATATCCACAATAATTGCACAGAAGAAAAGATATTTTGTCAGTAAAATACAAATATTTGAAGAGTAAAACAACTTAAAACAGCAAAAGTATTACATGTGGTTTCAACAAACAATATGTAAACTGAATACATGTATAGCATTTAAAATTTGACAACTTGCCTCACTAAAATAAATAATAAAATAAATAATAAATAATAAAAATAAAAAATAAAGTTGAACCTCTTAGTTAAAAATGATCTACATCACATAGCTCAACTGACTCTTGTCTGAGTTTTTTTTTTTTAATTAGACATATACAAAACCACTGCTAAAAACACATTTGTCATATTATGACACAATGTATTTAATATTATTAGTGAAATTTGCTTGCTAAATGTGCAAATTTGAGTAAGGACTATTTGCATTTGACGTTGAATTATTTTGTGCAGTTAAAAATATAAGTTAGACCGCTAAAGTAAGATAGCACTTGTTACTAAACTAACATTAGCAAAGCTACTGCTCATTGAACAAAGCATCATGCCTCATTGTAGCAGTACATGCAGTTAACCTAACCATAAGCTCTACTCTTCTGTACAATGGTAATGATAGAAACGCAAACATAACAGAAACTCTTTCAAATGTCAAACATAACTGAACATTAAACATTAACAAATGTTTCACTTTAAATCAGATAAAATAGCAATTGATTTAAATATTTACTCTTCATATCCAGTCATATACAAAGCATGACAGGAACTAACAATTACCACTAAAATCAAACTGCATAATTGAGTTAATTCTCTTAATATAAATAGGTAGCCTTCTTTACTTAATTTTATCAGCTTAATCAGTTTCTCAATTCAAGCCTCAAAACCGCTTAAGTTTCCTTAAAAAAAAAAGGGAAAAAAAGAGGAAAACGTATTTCATGGTTTTATCAGTGATATGTTCTCAATATTTCCTATAAAACACTGAACCACAATTTATTTAATTACATATACACACTTTTTAATTATCAACTTAATTTTTTTAATGAAAATTACAAGAACCATGGCTCATTTTTTACAGTGTGACAACTAGCCCCCGGTCTCTTATGTTTCACTGAATGACTGAACCAATCACAAAAAATCTGGTTGCTTGCTGTAACAATTATGGGTGTAGGCTGAATTTGTGCGCTTGACAGGTTTGTTGAAGAATCCCTGTGGTGAAGCACTAGAGTGAAGAGTTCCAGTGCCAAAATCATTAAAACCCACTTTATCAGCCATGTTATTATTCTTCTCTGCTGTAGCAGAATAATTAGCTTCCCTTAGCCAACACTTTCCTAAAACACAGGTTACAACCAGCTTTACAAGTTACAACCAAGTTACAACCATTTTCCGCATGTTTAATCAGGAACTGGCATAATAAAATGTAATGGATCTGAAAGTTCATTTCTGACTAACACATCAATATAGTATTAATTCTCACTGCACATTTGCTAGCATCTAATAATATGTTGATATATAATTAAACTGTAATGCATGGGCAAATCCCTGGCTGAACTGCTTGTGCTGTCTTGCTTATATTTTATTATTTATGGTATGACAAATAATATTTCTATCTATTAATTTTCCTGAAAACTGTGTCCACACATCACAGAATACATGCACACTAAATAAACGTGCTTTTAAAATGTAAAACATGGCATGCCAAGACCTTGACCTACTAATGTGGAGAGCACACAACACAAAGCTTTAATCTTTGGCATTTAAGTGCAGGACTCTCTCCAGAGCATTTCTCAATGGAACTGCATGAATACGGCATCTTCTAAAAGAGTCCATTTTAAATCTCTAGAGTTAGTGCAGTTCATAAAAATTTCCATTTTCCATGCATCTTGATGTAACTTTTCAATTACAATTTACATAAGCAATAAATTAGACCCCACTACAAACAGATCTCAATAATTTGTACATGAAACGCAGCAACAAAATGAGGATAACAAGTGAGAAATAACCTCGTCCAGCCATTTAAATTAGCACCTCCTAAGATAAGACACAAATCAAACATTTTGCATCAAAATTCAACATCAGTGAATATTTGTTTATTTAGAATTTCCTTCTCAAGCTTCACCCCCACTTTACTCTTAAATGCATGCTTTAACATTTCACTTTAATTGTACTACATGTTCGTGGGGGGATTGCTTTAAACTTGACAAGGACAAAAATCAAAAGCAAGCGTGTGTAGTATACGACATACAGTATTTGACCTTTTTTAAATTCCTTTATTACAGCAATGCATTGTAGTAAATCAGCTCAAAGGGGAAATATTTATGACTAATTATAACTGGTTATGATTAATAATAAATATTTAGATTAGATCTTCGAATTAACTGTAGCAGAATCAATATCACCATTATTTGATCTGTCCGTCCACCGAGCAGACAAAATACATTTAACACCCATATAAGTGTAAAGTCTGTGACCAGGACTGTAATTTGTATGCAAATGTCGAAAGCTAAAAGGGTCTCTTAAGCCATAAAACCCCACAGATCATGCATGATTCTACGCAGACGCTACAGCATGTTGGGGTTGACCTCCCCAGGTCAAATCAAAGTGTTTAACTCTCTGTAATTCTGAATAGGAAATCTAATGTTTTTTAAGTGTATTTCCACATATAATAAATTTTATTTTTTAAATGAATTAAGAACGATCATTTCCACTTCATTCCAGAATGGTTTCACCCACATCACAACTAAATTTTCTATTAATACTAAAATATATTAGGTTTTCCTCAGAGAAATAGAGCACATGGAGTCCCAGCTAGAAATTTTTTGTTTTAAAAATGTTCTAAGAACATTATACCATGGATTGTTCTAGAAATGTTTTTAGCGGGCAGTTTTATTTTTGTTCCCAGACCGTTCTCCTATAAGGTAGGATAACATTCTCTTCAAACATTCTAAAAATGTTTAGCGATAACATTGTTAGAACATCATTCCCTAACATTCTTACAATGTTTTTAGTGGGTAGTTTTATTTTTGTTCCCAGAACGTTCTCTCAAAAGATAGGATAACATTATCTAAAAACATTATAAAAATGTTTAGTGATAACATTGTTAGAACATCATTCCCTAATATTCTTATGTTTTTAGAGGGTAGTTTTATTTATGCTCCCAGAACACTCTCTCAACAAGATAGGATAACATTCTCTAAAAACATTCTAAAAATGTTTAGTGATAGCATTGTTAGAACATCATTCCCTAATATTCTTATAAAGTTTTTAGCGGGTAGTTTTATTTTTGTTCCCAGAATGTTCTCTCAAAAGCAGAGGCGGACAGTAACTAAGTACATTTACTTGAGTATTGTACTTAAGTACACTTTTTGAGTATCGGTACTTTACTTGAGTATTATTTTTTTCTGGGAACTTATGACTTTAACTCCACTACATTTGAAAGACAAATATTGTACTTTTCACTCCACTACATTTCTATTTGCTAGCAAGCTAAATGCGGATAGCGCGGATGTCCAAGTAAGTGCTCTGATTTACTGTATTGGCCCGGAGGCAGAACATATCTTTAAGTCATTCATCTTTGGGGAGGACGAAGCCGTAACTTACGATGCAACCATCGCAAAGTTTGATGACTATTTCGTTTCGCTTTCACTCACATGTTCAGGAGGCCAATGAAACGGTGGAAAGCTATATAAGACACCTCTATGAGCTTGCTGAGCATTGCGATTTCAGATGTAAGGATGAGGAAATTCGTGATAGGTTATTGATTGGAATAGCTGATAAGAGTCTCTCTCAGAAAATGCAAATGCACAGTGATTTAACTATGAAAGCGGCAGTGGATATGGCTAGACACTATGAACTTGTTAAAGCACAAAATAGCACAAGCCCTATTAAAGCCTCAGCAGCAACAGGAAGTATTGATGTTGTAAAAGCAAAGCATTATTTTCGCAGGAGCAAACAAATGAGTGGAGATAAAAAGAAAAAAAAATGCGGCAGATGTGGTCATTTGCATTCACAGTCAGACAAATGCCCAACTAGGGGTAAGGAACGCAATAAATGTCACAAAATTGGCCATTTTGCTTCGGTATGCTTCACTAAGAGTGTCAGAGAAGTAACAGAGGAAGTGGAGAGCTTGTTCCTCGGATCAGTGACAGAGAAAAACATATGTAGCAACACTGTCGATATGGTGGTAGCAGACAACGAACCACCATGGCGAACGACACTTAATATCGAAGGAACACCAGTGTCATTCAAAATTGACTCAGGAGCAGACACATCTATCATGACGGAGACAACATACAATGGCTTACGTCGAAAGCCTAAACTTAAGCCAGTGACAACACCGCTACAGAGTCCTGGAGGGGAATTGCTGACAAGTGGACAATTTATAGCTAGAACTCAACTAAAAAGAGGCAAGAAAACACTGGACTGCCATTTTAGGATTACAGTGGTAAAGTCAGGGGGAGACAATCTGCTAAGTCGAGCAGTTGGAGCCCACCTAGGTCTGATACAGCTGGTAGAGGAAGTGAGTGTTTATGGAGAGCTAGGACTTCTAAAAGGAGAACCAGTAAAGATAGAGCTAAAAGAGAATGCAAGGCCATACAGCATCATTACCCCTCGTCGAATTCCAATTCCTCTTGTGCCAAAAGTGGAGGAGGAGTTGAGACGAATGGAAAACGTAGGTATCATTGAGAGTGTTACCGAACCAACAGAATGGGTGGCCCCTATGGTACCAGTGGTGAAACCATCAGGAAAAATAAGAGTCTGTGTCGACCTTAAAAGGTTAAACGAAAGCGTACAAAGAGAAAAATTCATTCTCCCCACTCTGGACGACATTCTTCACAGGTTAGCCAGAATCACTGTATTTTCCAGCCTGGATGTGGCGAGTGGGTTCTGGCAGATTCCTTTGGATGAGAAGAGTGCCCGTCTCACAATGTTCATTACGCCTCTAGGGAGATTTTGCTTCAAGAGGCTACCCTTTGGCATTACGTCGGCACCAGAAATTTTTCAAAGGAAAATGTATGAGCTGTTGAGCGACCATGAAGGCACCGTTGTATACATGGACGACATCCTGGTGTGCGGGTCTACGATGGAGGAACATGATAAAAGACTCAGTATGGTCCTGGACACTATCCGAAAGTCAGGACTAAAGCTTAATCAGCAAAAGTGCAAGTTGAGAGAGAGAGAGTTAAATTTCCTAGGACACAGAATTAGTGGTGAAGGCATTTCTCCACACCCAGACAGAGTCACAGCAATTACTGCTCTAGAACCACCTCAAAATCAAACTGAACTGAGAAGGTTGCTTGGAATGGTTAACTTCCTGGGAAGATACCTGCCCCATCTTTCAAGTGTGCTGTACCCCCTGAATGACCTGCTAAGAGCCAATGTGGCTTGGCTGTGGGGGCCGGAGCAAAATGAAGCCTTTAAAAAGGTAAAAGCTTTGATTTCTTCCACGCCTGTGCTTCAATTTTTTGATCCTAAATTGCGGACGGTGGTGAGCGCCGATGCCAGCAGTCATGGCCTGGGTGGGGTCCTCCTACAAGAGTATGAAGGGGGCCTCAGGCCCGTTGCCTTTTGTTCACGCACACTGACTGAGGCAGAAAAACGATATGCTCAAATTGAAAAGGAGTGCCTGGCGAGCGTATGGGCCTCTGAGCAATTTTATCAGTACCTGTGTGGTCTGGAGACATACAGACTGATTACAGATCACAAGCCACTGGTCACCATGATAAACGCTATGGATCTGGATAAAGTCCCCCTTCGTTGCCAGCGACTACTTATCCGTTTAATGAAGTTCAACCCTGTGGCTGAATACATGCCTGGCAAGAACCTAGTGGTCGCGGACGCTCTATCAAGACACCCAAAGCCAGGTATAGATGAAACAGGACTAGAAGCCGACATCCAAGCTCACATCAGTGCCGTGGAGGAAACGGAAAAGAAACCAGTGTTCGAACGAATCAAAGCGGAGACAGCTAAGGATCATACTCTCCAGCTAGTTAAGGGCTATGTAGAAAGAGGGTGGCCAGCTTATGTTAAAGATGTAGCCAAACCTGCCAGAGAGTTCTTTGCAGAAAGAGGATTCATGAGTCAGCTGAACGGTGTCGTAAGAAGAGGGAATCAAATAGTCATCACTTCAAGCTTGAGAGCGGAAATCCTTGAAAGAATCCACCATGGGCACATGGGTCTGACAAAGAGCAGGGAGAGATACAGGGACGCGGTGTGGTGGCCACACATCAGCAAAGCTGTGAAGGAAAAGGTTCAAAAGTGTCCTTACTGTAATAAGCATAGGCCAAGTCAGCCACGTGAGCCGCTTATCACTACACCCTTGCCTGAACATCCATGGCAGAAACTGGCAGCTGACCTATGTGAGTTAAACGGGAAGACGTACTTGGTAGTCACTGATTACTACTCACGTTGGCTGGAGATTCTCTCTCTTCCTAAGACATCCAGTGAAGCGGTCATTCAAAAGCTCATCAGCATCATTGCGAGATTTGGAATTCCTGAGCAAATCGTGACCGATAATGGCCCACAGTTTAGGTCCCAGTTGTTCGCTGACTTTACTGAAGCATATGAGATCACACATGTAACTTCAAGCCCGTACTATCCTCAGGCAAACGGGATGGCGGAAAGAGCCGTGAAAATTGCAAAGACAATTCTGAGACAGGAAAATCCGGCACTGGCTTTACTTTCCTATAGGGACACACCCACTGAACCTACCAGAGAGAGTCCTGCCAAACTTCTCATGGGCCGTAAGCTCAAACAAAATCTGAAACCAAGATGTACAAACATCATCAAAGTTAAACTTAATGATGCTAGAGCCAAAGGTGCCAACGAAAGGACATACAACAGGAGGTACTCAGCAAGACCTCTTCCATCTTTGCAAAAGGGAGACAAAATGCGTGTGAAAACAGATGCAGAGAAGCAATGGAAGACTACTGGTGTGATTATGGAGTCTGCGGGTACCCCCAGGTCCCTTGTAGTGAAGACATCTGAGGGAGACGTGATCAGAAGAAACAGACGGCACTTATTGCTCACCAATCAAGAAGAAAACAGTAATGGATCTACTTCAGTTCCTGTAGCTGTTATTTCAGAACCAGAATCTGGCTGTGTTACCCCAGAGAGCAACGCGCCAGCTCCGCCAGAACCAGAGCTGGGTAGAAGAGGACTTGTTGTCACTCATTCAGGACGCATAGTGAAACCACCAATCAAGTTTAGTTATTGAATGTTATTGAGATAGGTGGGGATAACGTTACAGAGAAGAAAAAAAAAGAAAGAAAGTTCATTAGTGAAACCTGTACAAGTTTATGTGTATACAAACTATTTACGAGTTGGAACTTTTAAGTTTAACTTTTGTTTAATCTTTGTATTTGTGTTATACAAAACAACAGTATGTCTTTCTCAAAGGAGGGGAGATGTGACGAGAAGCGATTTGTTTGATGTTTGTTTGATGTGTTCTTTACGTCACAGGCGGTTCTGTATGCGCATGCGCAGTTCAGATGGAAAGCGAAAGTAAACGAAAATTAAACCTAAAGCGGTCTCAGTCTGATGTTTGCGCCGATTCAAAAGATTAGAATATAGGAGAACAACACACTGGCCATGCAAGAACTGGGATGTTTTCAGCTTCCAGGAATTGTGTACAGATCCTTGCAACATGGGGCCGTGCATTATCATGCTGCAACATGAGGTGATGGTCGTGGATGAATGGCACAACAATGGGCCTCAGGATCTCGTCACGGTATCTCTGTGCATTCAAAATGCCATCAATAAAATGCACCCGTGTTCGAACTAAAAAGAGAAAAAGACATGATTGGCATGAAACTAGTTACCATTTTTAAAGGTAAAATTTTAAGAAATTTTAAGGAATTAATCATTTACCTCTTAAGAGTGTGTTCAAAGTCTTTCTTGAGCTCCAGAAAACCAGTAATGATGCGACTTTGACGGTTACAGATTTGGAAAACAAAAAGGCGGAAATAAAGAACCCTAAACTCTAAAGCAAAGAACCGTCTCAGCATATGAAAGGTTCTTCAGGATGATACGGTTCTAAAAAGAGCTGTTTCTACGAGTAAAGAACCTTTAAAGAACCATTTTTTTTAGAGTGTAGCTTTGTAAACACAAGGACATTCCGAAACATTTTATAAAAACATTACACCACCTCAGGCCTCAATGATGTTCTTATAACTTTTTCCTAATGTGGCTGTGAGAATGTTCTTTCTTTGTTATCTTGAAACATTGTGCCAATGTTTTATTGACAACATTGTACAATCTGTTACCTCAAAAAACATCCTCAAAACATCCTCAAAATGTTGCAGATGAAGTGTTCTAGCTTTGTTAACATGTCACATTACAAGAAACTTTTATAAAGAACATTTTGTTATCTCAGGCCTCAATCATGTCCATATGGCTATACCATTTTCCTAATGTGGCTGAGAGAATGTTCTTTCTTTGTTATCTTGAAACATTGTGCCAATGTTTTATTGACAATATTGTATAAACCGTTACCTCAACAACATCCTCAAAATGTTGCAGATAAAATGTTCTAGCTTTGTTAATATAAAAACATTACACCACCTCAGGCCTCAATGATGTTCTTATAACTTTTTCCTAATGTGGCTGTGAGAATGTTCTTTCTTTGTTATCTTGAAACATTGTGCCAATGTTTTATTGACAACATTGTACAATCTGTTACCTCAAAAAACATCCTCAAAACATCCTCAAAATGTTGCAGATGAAGTGTTCTAGCTTTGTTAACATGTCACCTTACAAGACACTTTTCTAAAGAACATTTTGTTAACTCAGGCCTCAATAATATCCATAGGCTATAACATTTTCCTAATGTGGCTGAGAGAATGTTCTTTCTTTGTTATCTTGAAACATTGTGCCAGTGTTTTATTGACAATATTGTATAAACTGTTACCTCAACAACATCCTCAAAATGTTGCAGATCAAATGTTCTAGCTTTGTTAATATTTCACATTACAAGAACGTT